TTACAGAAAGCCCTTCAGGACCAGAAGTAAAACCGCAGCTCCCAGTCGGAAATGTCTGGCGGCAAGATTGCCTTGGCAGGGTTGCAGGGATAGAACAATCCATCAATGTCAATGGATTTCACAGCGATCTCTTGAAAATACCAAGAGCGGATGATACAATGTATTTGAAAGGGCACGTATATCATCACGGCACACACCTGTCTATAGTTTTTGGGAGCATGTGTATGAGACTGAGTCTATGCCTATATATATATGGCATTACATAAATGTATACATATACATATATATATAGTATATCATGGATTTTTTTGCAAGCGACAAGTGCATTGTAGATCTATACTTAAATTGTATATCATATCTGTATACATAGTTTGCATATCTGTGCATAAATTGTACATCTATCACAAAATGATTGACAATAACTCCCAAGCTTGACATACGAAATCGGCATTTGCCGTCACCATGTCAGCGGAAACTCTCAGGCCAACTTCCAACCAGGTGGCAGTTCACATCACAGCCGTAGAGCCTGCTGTAGGCACAGAAACGTAGGCACCCGTTGCTACATTCGGATGGTTTTGGGTGTGGAGAAGAATTTCTTAGTGTTTTTTCCCGGCCTGAGTTCTTACTTGAATTCTATGTTCAATGGACTTAGAACTGCCTATTTGGCATCAGGAAAATGATAGTCAACCAACAAAAATGACGGGCAATATCATTGTCCTGCAATGATATACAATCGGGATAATCATAATGATTTACGATAATGACAAATCATATCCATTCCGGGGTTTAAGACATGACGATAGAGATGTGTACAAACATGCGCAAAAACTGTATATGGGTTTGTCTGAAGAAAGGGAACCCCCAAACTCACTGGTTAATCATCATCCCTATCAAAATTACCACTTGGGGTATACCCCATCTTCAGACAAACACATGTGTAGAAGCACTCTATATGCCCAGGTCTTTGTTTGCATCCAGTTGGATGCTGAAGTCAAGCGACACCAGGGCTATCCGCTTGACAGGTAGAATGGTCGTGTAAGAGATATCATGGGGATAGCGTATCTATGTATCTATGTATCTATGTATCTATGTATCTATGTATTTATGTATCTATGTATGTATGTATGTATGTATGCATGTCTGTATGCATGTCTGTATGCATGTATGTATGCATGTATGTATGCATGTATGTGTGTGTGTGTGTCTGTATGTGTGTCTGTCTGTATGTGTGTATGTGTGTATGTGCGTATGTATGTATGTGTGTATGTGTGTATGTGTGTATGTGTGTATGTGTGTATGTATGTATGTATGTATGTATGTATGTATGTATGTATGTATGAATGTATGAATGTATGAATGTATGAATGTATGAATGTATGTATATGTGTGTATGTATGTATGTATGTATGTATGTATGTATGTATGTATGTATGTATGTATGTATGTATGTATGTATGTATGTATGTATGTTGTATGTATGTATGTATGTATGTATGTATGTATGTATGTATGTATGTATGTATGTATGTATGTATGTATGTATGTATGTATGTATGTATGTATGTATGTATGTATGTATGTATGTATGTATGTATGGTATGGTATGGTATGGTAATGTATGTATGTATGTATGTATGTATGTAATGTAATGTATGTATGTATGTATGTATGTATGTATGTATGTATGTATGTATGTATGTATGTATGTATGTATGTATGTATGTATGTATGTATGTATGTATGTATGCTATGGTATGTTATGTTATGGTTTGGTATGTTATGTTATGTTATGTAACGTAATGTAATGTAACGTAATCCAATGGAATGTATGTAATGTATGTAATGTAATGTATGTAATGTAATGTATGTAATGTAATGTTTGTAATGTAATGTATGTAATGTATGTAATGTAATGTTTGTAATGTAATGTTTGTAATGTAATGTATGTAATGTAATGTATGTAATGTAATGTATGTAATGTAATGTTAATGTTAATGTTAATGTTATTGTTGATGTTGATGTTAATGTAATGTTAATGTAATGTAATGTAATGTAATGTATGTAATGTAATGTAATGTAATGTAATGTACTGTAATGTAATGTAATGTAATGTAATGTATGTAATGTAATGTAATGTATGTAATGTAATGTAATGTAATGCAATGTAATGTAATGGTATGTAATGGTATGTAATGGTATGTAATGGTATGTAATGGTATGTAATGGTATGTAATGGTATGTTATGGTATGTAATGGTATGTAATGGTATGTAAATGAATATGTATGCATGCATGCATGCATGTATGTATATATATATACACATATATATATATATATGTAATTGGATACAAACAGAACTGTATCCCTCCCGTTCTTACACTCCCCCCAAAAAAAACGGATGGTTTTACACTCAACATGACGAATCTGGTGGTTCCATTGCCCCACGATCCATGCCGTGCCTGGGATTGCTCTTTTCGCACTGCTGGGTGTACTGCGTTTCCCGACAGGTCCTAGGCCGCCGCTCGGCCGCAATGGGACTGGCTTTGATGGACTTGGACATAACTCCCGCAACTCCCAAGACTTCAGAAATGACATACAGTGGACATACAGATACACTAACTGACCTGCTAAAATCACTGGCTCCCTATTAGATACACCCCGGATTCATCCGATCCAATGCATTCCACCAGGGTCTACCGCCATACCCAACTCTTGACGTCAAAAATGACGTCAAATGTCAATTATGTCATAGTATATATCACAAAAATCCACTATATTTTCAACACATTGACATTATGTTTATATCACAAACATGTGTTGTTTTTTCATGAAAAAATTGTCCACCAAAATGACACATCACCCACCAAGGGGTCCCTTGTTCAAGTCACATGAAGACCTTCTTGGCGCAATAGGCATTGCACTTCTCAAGCGTACAGCGCTGCTCCCGGGTGATGCCGGCGGAGAACATCTGCGCCTGGGATTCCTGGAGGAAGTTGTAGCGCTCCTGAGGGGCGATTTGATCCAACCGGGATATGGTGAAAATTGCTGCCTTAATGGTGATTAATAGTGATCAATGATGGTTAATGATGGTTAATGATCTGGTTGGTGGTTGAGCCCTAACCCTCTGAAAAATAGTATGGCCCAGTTATCGGTTAAAAAAATGAACAAAGTATACCACGAAGAGGGTGATAAACCACTCACTGGGGATGCAGATGGTTCAGTGGTTCATTCTCTCGTTCCGTCGGGCCTTGGAACGGCCAAAAAACAGGATTTCTGTGGAAAAGGACTCGATATTCCAACTAATTCCATTGCAATCTTATGCATATGTTATCATATGTTTGCGCTAGTTCTGTTACGGAAAGCCAGTATTTGGCTGGATGTTCCAAGATATGGATTGGATGTAACCAGCCAGCCTCGTTTGGTCCACGGGTCCACCGATGTGCTGTCTGAGATGTTCACCGGATCGTGGGGAGATCACGGCTCTAAATCAGGATACGACTTGGAGTCGTGTTCTATGCCTTTCCAAATGGTCCTTCACTATAACCAAATATAACCCATATGCAATAAGACGCAATAAGCATTTTGTGCTTCAACCTCACCAAGAGGGCCCCCAGGTGCACAAGTTTGCTATTCATGGTCCAGTATTTCTTATGAATAGATAGTGATAGTACCCTGTTGGAATGGTCACCAGAACGCACGGAAAAAGGAACAACTTTGCAGGTCTTGCAGACTTGCAGAACAAGATGTGATGCTGCATTTTAAATGTGCATCCATATATGTATACATATTATATATATATGTACATGTGTATATATATATACATAGTCAACCATAATAGAATTAAAGTATATTACAGTTATAGACTATTATAAGCTTCCCAATAGAACAATGATGAGCAATTGATGTTTTCGGGCGTTCGTTCGCCCCGTTGTCACGTCGCAAAGAGATGGGCCACCAAGACTCCACAGGATCTTCTGATCGGCAAAGAGTTGAATCTCCACCTCGAAAAAAGATGAAAGATGATTAAAACAATGGTAAAGCAATGGCATCACATCTTTATCATGATAAAACAATGGTAAAACAACGGTAAAACAATGGTAAAACAATGGTATCACATCTTTATCATGGTAAAACAATGGTAAAACAATGGTAAAACAATGGTAAAACAATGGTAAAACAATGGTAAAACAATGGTATCACATCTTTATCATGGTAAAACAATGGTAAAACAATGGTAAAGCAATGGTATCACATCTTTATCATGGTAAAACAATGGTAAAACAATGGTAACACATCTTTATTATAGTAAAACAATGGTAAAACAATGGTAACACATCTTTATCATGGTAAAACAATGGTAAAACTATGGTAACACATCTTTATCAGGGTAAAACAATGGTAAAATGCCGAGACCATTCTGGTTCCAGTAACCAATGTTTAATCACAACCGCCTTCAAAGTGGATAATTACGCTAAGCATATGCCATATGCCCTGCTTTTAGCTCAGGAATCGGTCAGGAATGATTGCAATAAAAAGATCCAAGAGCAATTGGGCATGGCTTCCTTTGGCCCCACATTTCATCCCCTTCCTGTGACCAACTGCCATGGCACCCCAAACCTCACAGCCAAACAGGCAGCAGAGGTAAGATCTGCATTCAGGATCCCAATCCATCATCCCAGCTGTTTCGCGGCAATACCTGCAGGAAACTGTCTTTTTCACTTTGACAATGACCAAAAATAGAAAAACGTGCCTGAGCTCGGTGGAAAATTCTTTGAAAACGGTGCTGAAGATTTGCACTCTTCAAGTGACACACAAGGACACGAGGACGTTTTTTGGATAGATAGCTTTGGACCATATCTGTGTTGCTTCCTATTTAAACATGACCATATCCACAGCAAAGCAGCTCTTGGAGTTTGGAGGTCCTATGGTAAAACTGTGGGGTGGGCTTTGTCGGCGACAAGAGAATTACTGGATAACCCCCGGAAATTTCTTGGGTGTTTCAACCCCAATATTTACTGATGGTTGTGGTACCCGCGATCTCCTAAAGTTTAGGCCGTCGCAGCCGGAAAAGTCGTAGCTACTGCCGAGTTGCTCCTCCCATTCTTCGAAATATGGATAGACGATGCCATCATCGCCCAAGATACATTGCCTCAGGCAGTGTCGCCTGAGCGGATCTTCGTCTATATTTCGCTTGGAGTAGCCACATAGGGGTTCCTGCAGGGCTGAAAAAAACCAGACAACTGGGGGAAAAAAGATGGGAAGGACACTACTAGCCATTTCAGAAATGGAGAAACCTTAACAATGTTGGATTTCTGGATTCCCAGCACATAGATCTAAGGGGTCGGTTTCAACCCTGTCCTCTAGTAGCAGATTGGGAGATAACGTCGACGTCCCATTGTCATCCTGTGAGGAGACCAGACGCAGATGCCAACACCAAGCCGATAGGAGAATCCATGGGGGCAGCCGCGCTTGTCGCATGCTGGACACCGTGCGCGAATCTCGAGCGATCCGCGACTATATGACTTGAGAGGGAGAACGACCGCGAATCCACCGTGGTCATGTGGGGACCTGAAGAATTAATGAACTGTCATGGTGAGTCACGACTTTTTACATAACATACATATTAAAAAAATAGAAAGATGTATATAGTTATATAGCTTGCATGATTGTGATGAGAGGATAGATGCAATAAACCACCTGGATCCAATTGGTCGTTTTCAGGCATGGGTCCACCTTTAAAAAAGCCGGCGGAAGAAAAGGCAATTTGTGCCTTCGTGGGGCTGCGACCCAGATTTGTAAGCAGCCTCATTCCAGGAAATTGGTGGATCTTTGGTTTCCCAAAATCAACAGTTGGGACATGCCCAAATCAGTGTATGTGTGTGTGGAAAAGGGGTGTACCCATGAAATGTCCTCGAATGGCGGAAATTATGATGATAAACCATTGGAATGTGGGGGTACACTATGTTCAGACAGACCCAAATACAGTAAATATGTTTGCGTGTAAAACTATGCTCAACCTTGTCTCATGACTATCGCGCCCAGTCCCACCACCCCAGAGCCACTCAAAAATGTTGGATGAAAATCTAGCTGTTTTCCACTCATTGATCGGGTAAAAACGATGAGAAAAAGTACAACATCCAGGAGCTCTCCCGGATCCTATGAAATTCACTTTCATACCAAAAAAATCCACCGGTGCACTTCCATTCGCATCAAGATGATTACTTTTGGAAATGGGGAGACTTAGGTAGAATTTTCATGAAACATGAAAGTGTTACCTTAAAACTGTATGTCTACATATATGTATATGTATGTGTATATGTAGATCTTTATCTGTTTATCTGTATGTCTGCATATGTGTGTATATGTAAATATTTATGTGTATATATATATGTATATATATATGTGTGTGTATATATATATGTTTATATATATATGTGTGTAACTATATATATATGTACGCATCTATGTATACATATGTATATGTATATATATATGTATATGTATATGTATATATACATGTATATATGTATATGTACATATACACACATACATATATTCATATTTACATTTATACATATATGTATATATAAATGTTTTTTTATATATACATATATATGTATATATGTATCTGTAAATATGTATATATATATGTATATGTGTGTATATATTTACGTATATACATATTTACATATTTACATATATACATATATTTACATATACATATTTATACATATTTACATATATACGTCTACATATATATACATATATATACATATATAAATATATATATATATATATACGTATATCAACGTATATACATACATGTATATGTATATAAATGTCAATATATACACAAATTTACATATATATATATATTACAGATACATTTATATACATATAGATATAAATACATTTATATATACATATGTATGTATATACATATATATATATACATATATATATATATATATGCATATATATATATACATATATATTTACATATATATACATATATATACATAAATATATACATATACACATATATACATATATATATAGACATTTATATATATACATCTAGATATACATATATGGATGCATATACAAACATCTATATAGACATATATATATATACATATATACTTATATACATATATACATATATACATATATACATATATACATATTTACATATATACATATATACATCTTTACATATATACATATATACAGATATACATGTATTAAAATGTATTTAAATATACATATATATATATACATATATTTACACATATATATATATATATACATATATACATACATACATATATATATATACATATATACATACATATATATTTGTACAAAACACACCATGCTCGGACCACTTTTGGAGGTTCAGATGTCGAAAAAGTGCATGCCGTCGTGGGGCGAAGCACATTTCGAAGCCAAAATGTTAAAAACACCAGGGGTTCGGACCACTTTTGGAGGTTCAGGTGTCGCTTTGTTCGCTTCGCTTCACTACACTACACTACATTACGCTACACTACACTCCACTACACTACACTACACTACATTACACTACACTACACTCCACATTACTATTACTACACCTACAACTACACTAAAATACACTACACTACACATTACACTCTACACTACACACTCTACCACTACACTACACTAATACACTTCCACTACACTACATTACACTACACTACACTCCACTACACTACAACTACAACTACACAACTACACTCCACTACACTCCACTACACTACACTCCACTACACTACACTCCACTACACTCCACTACACTCCACTACACTCCACTACACTACACTACACACTACACTACACTACACTACACTACCTTCCACTACACTTCACTACAACACTACACTCCACTACAACTACAACTATACACAACTACACTACACACTTCACTAAATTACACCACACTACACTACATTACACTACACTACGCTACATTCCACTAGACTCCGCTACACTACATTGCACTACACTACATTACACTGAATGGCACTGCACCACAGATAGACAAGTAGACAGATAGACAGATAGATAGATAGATAGATAGGTAATTAGATGAAAGAGAGAGAGATAGATAGATAGATAGATAGATGGATCGATAGATAGATAGATACATAGAAGATAGGTAGGTAGGTAGATAGTCAGAGAAAGAGAGAGAAAGAGAGGAGACCTCAAGCACCTTTCGGTCCATCAGTGGATTCGCTCTGCCATCCCTGATTCACAACAACCAATCTCTCCTATAGGTTTCCTATTTTTGAAACTTCCGCCACCGCCTTGTGCGGTACTACTGGTATATGTACATTTTCATGATTATATATATATATGTATATAATCATTTGTACGTTATCAAATAAATACCTGGCCGTATTCCCAACACAACCCAGGGGCTAAAATTGTTGCAGTTCTTGCGCAGCATGTCGTAGGAACTAGCTTGAAAGTAAGGCTCCAGCAACAATTTCATCTGATGTCCTGCCACAACTCTGGCAGTTTCCCCAGGTGACTTCCTGCTCACAGTTAAGTACTTCGTTGGGTACGTTGATGTCCAAGTAACCTAACCCCTATGCCATCCCTACAACCCTTTGCCTATCGGGTAGCATAGGGTACCCCATTGCATCCAATGTTTGATCAACTCCCATTTCTTGCCGGTTGTGCCGTCATCCTCCCAACGTTGCTGGTTGTACCCTTCATGTTTAATTATTTTTCTCCCGGGTACTGTAAATCCTTCGATTTTTTGGACAAGATGACAAGACGTTAACAGTTTCCAACACCCAAAACTGGCACCCCAGGCCCAGTTTTCCAAGGTATGGATCACCGAACGGAATCCTTTGATAGTGTGGCGGGAAAGTATGAGAAAAGCACACAGATTTTGAGGTGGTGCCCCCCAGTTTTGAGTTGGTTCATTAATCATTAATCCACTATACATAAATATATATATATAAATTGCCATATATATAATCGTCCTATATAATTAAACTTTAGTTTGCCTTGGTTCTAAACCAACTTAGCGATGCACTCAAACACCAACACTTTCAAAGGTCCAAGAAGCCGCCCAGTGCGCTCCTGAGATGGTGGAAAAACCCAGGTCAATCATCTGTCCGTCGTGGCTCGCGTGGTCACCCGCGTCCAAGCGCTGGTTCACGATGCCCAGATGGTTAAAAGCGAACCTCGCGGAAGTCGATGGTGTACAAAAAAAGGACAGCGACCCCCAGTATAATTGAAAAATACCGGTAAAAGAAACACACGACTGACCAAAATGTTGACATTTTATTATCCCGGCAAGAGACCCCAAACAGTGTGGGGGGAGTAAAAAGATCATGTATTTTAATGTTGATGATGTTAATGTTGGTGGTGATGATGTTGATGATGATGGTGATGTTGATGATGATGATGATGATGATGATGATGATGATGATGATGATGATGATGCTGACGAGGAGGAGGAGGGGGGGAGGAGGAGGAGGAGGAGGAGGAGGAGGATGGTGATGGTGATGGTGATGGTGATGGTGATGGTGATGGTGATGGTGATGGTGATGGTGATGGTGATGGTGATGGTGGGTGATGGTGGTGATGATGATGGTGATGGTGATGGTGATGGTGGTGATGATGATGATGATGATGATGATGATGCTGATGCTGAGGATGATGTGGATGTTGAGGAGGAGGAGGAGGAGGAGGAGGAGGAGGATGAGATGGTGATGGTGATGGTGATGGTGATGGTGATGGTGATGGTGATGGTGATGGTGATGGTGATGGTGATGGTGGTGATGATGATGGTGATGGTGATGGTGATGGTGGTGGTGGTGATGATGATGCTGAGGATGATGTGGATGTGGATGTGGATGATGTTGAGGAGGAGGAGGAGGAGGATGATGATGTTGGTGATGATGATGGTGATGGTGATGATGATGATGATGATGATGGGAGGAGGGAGGAGGAGGAGGATCATTATGTTGAGGAGGAGGATGTTGAGGAGGAAGGCCGATCCCAAGACCGGGAAGCACACTTTGTGCGAACCTGCGCAGTCGAAATGCCACAAGAGGCATTTTGTGCCGAAATTTACAGGGAAAATGCCGGACGCTAATCCCGGGGCAAGCATTTTGTGCGAGCCTGCGCAGTCGAAATGCACATGGACATGTCACAAGAGCTATTTTGGGCCCAAATTTACAGGGAAAATGCCGGACGCTGATCCCGGGGCAAGCATTTTGTGCGAGCCTGCGCAGTCGAAATGCACATGGACATGTCACAAGAGCCATTTTGGGCCGAAATTTACAGGGAAAATGCCGGACGCCCCGGATACCACCTTGATTGAACACCGGCCCTTCACTGTTACCGTAAGAACCCCTCGGTGTGGCCACACTGTTTGGGGAACAGAGTCAACCTATAGGCACTTGAAGTGACAACGATTGAAGATACGAGCGAACACTAAGGGGAGATATGCCACAAAAACCGGAGTGTAAAAACTGGAGATTAACAACATCTGAGGGCTTCCAGATATTAAACACTCAACATCACTCAACGCATTTTGTGGCTTACATTCCAGTCATGTCTGCACTATTAATCTGTGCAAACTGTCTCAACCACTGTTCCTGGTAGCACTTGGCTGTAGTAAGTCAATTCGTTTTCGGCCCAAAATTCCTGCTTGGGGATTGTGTCAACGGTTACCGCCAATAGTGTCAAAATACATAGTGTGACCGGGTGATTGCTACATAGGCACTATAGGCACTATGCTAGCGGGTATTCCGCTCTGGATCACCTGAGGAGCCAACTCAAAGTCGTCCACCACAATAGAGGTGTGGTACGCGTCCTGGCCCAAAGAGATCTGGGCTGGATTTGTTTTCAAGGAAACCGATGGAATTCATGGATTTTCGAGCAATTTTACGTGTTTTGAAGTGAATGTTCGTTTGATCCAAGCCTGCAAGAGGTGGAAAAATCCTCCTCAAGGGGTACTACCGCCACGAGTCATAGATGATAGAAAGTTGTCCTACACCTTTAGGGCACAAGCCAGAAATCATTGTCCTTGGAAATCCTGAGAAAGTTTTGTTTTATCTTCTGTGAGAGGCTTGCAGAGGTTAGGCCGTGTGTTTGACCTCTACCTCTAGGTACTGAAGCTGATACATGAATATACACATGAGTTTGTTTATCTTCTGTAGTTTTGAAGTCTTGTCTCCCCGTTTTGATGTTTTCAAATGCATTTTCTCAACTCCCCACTCCCAAACTCCCCTCCTTGGCCCAACATCCACCAATCAACGAGGGCACCTCAATCATGTTCCGCGTTAGGAATTGCTGGATGGTGACCCATGCGGCTCACGATGACTCCGGCCATTTCGGCATTTCAAAACCTGGTTTCAAACCGATCAGTTCTCCATCACTTGGCAATTGCTCTTCGTATCGAAGAAAAGTTCCTGGAAATGCTGGAAATGCTTCATGTGCATCGGCTCCGAATTACCTCTTCTGTTCTCTGGGTACAGCCGACTCCCGCAGGGCTACAAAAAAGAGCTGGTTCAGCCACTTCATTCATCCTTTTTTTATGCTGTCAATATTGTTCACTGCTTGTGGGTCCCAAAAAAATGGCTACTTAACTGCATGATCACAAATTCTTGGCTTTGGATCACCATTTTTGCCAGACTTTCTTCCCCGCTGTTGTTGCTTCTCCTCTGAGTTGCATGGAGTTGTTTTGGCCCATTTGATTCTGTTGCATATCACACCACTTTCTGTATGCTGAAAATTCCGGACCTTGGATACCTTGGCGGTCGCAGATTTGGTTCTTTTGAGTAGCCAAACATAGTCAAACCATTGGGCAACCAATTTTCAGCCCCAAATGTGCCATGGTATGCCATGGTCAAGTTACACGGGATGAGAGAGGCCCCTCGTCATCCATCCCATACCATGTTTGAATCCCATGGATCTGAAGCGTGGCACCCCCAATGACATCTCCCCATGTTGCGGTGACATCGGCCAATTCTATCCTGTGGGTTACAATCTCTATTATATTGTTGGCTGCATTCCTATCACTACATCACCCTTCTGCCATTGTGATGGGTTTCATACTCCCAAAACTTGCTGGTATCCATGGTCTTCAATAAAATGCCTCGAACTTGGAGGCACAAGCAATTTCCATCCATCATTCAGGATGTGAAATCACCATCTTTGCAGGTTGAACCCCAGTATCATCTGGTTATTTCACATAGCTGTGGAAAATCAATGAGAAAATAGCCCATTTATAATAGATGATAAGAATGATGATTTACCTATTGGAAATGGTGATTTTCCAGTTCGCTACGTTATATCGCCAGAGGGAAGATTCTCATTAAATCCCCAGTAAAATCAATCGATTTATATAATACCATGGAATCCCATTAAAAATCCTATGAAAAAAAATCTGATGTTTCAGGTTTCCATCCACCGTCAGGTTTCCATCCCCCGTCACTTTGTGTTTTACCATGGTTACCCTCTGGTAAATAAACATAGACCCTGAAAATGACCAATTTATAGAGGAAACTAATCTTCCAACCCCTATCTGCCAGGGTCTATGTTAATTTACTGGAGGTTACATCCCAATGTTCCCCTGTTGAAAATCGAAGACACCACCAATCGCACCCGGTACCGCGAGTCGCCATCACTCTGCATGGACGAAGACCCACCCATGGCAGGGGTCGAAGCGAAAAATGTTGGGCTTATCAGGTGAGAATTCATGGTTTTTGGAGGGGTGGTACCATATATGATATAACTTATATAACATAAGTGAGTTTTTTTAACATACCAAATCATCCATAGCTGGGCAAATTCTGTCTAATCATCACCCAAATTAAGGTGCTTTCGTTGCTTGAATAGTGTAATTTGCTCAGATCCGTTTCGGTGAAAGCTAGGATCACCAAAGAACTCTCCAAGTCTCCCCCCTGTGAGTTCATGATCACAATCAGCTTGGAGTAAAAGATGATCCTGTAGCTTAGCTCTGTACTTCAACAGCAGGGTGTGTCAAACTCAGGCACCACAATTACAGTAGTTGTTATGGCCCTCAAAAATATCTTGTTTACAGATGTTTACAGACAATGTTCCGGCTCGAAGTGTTTTCCCATTCCAATGCCTGATTGCCAAATGGAACAGCAACATGACAGCAGTGCAATTTGGGCCCTGCTACGCCCCCAAGGAGGTGCTCATGGGATGGTCAGAAACGGGCATGACAAACGCCGCGAAGCGGCATAGGACCCAGTGCCAACATAAAACGTGGGATCACGGCATCAATGAATCTGAGTCACTGAGTCTAGTCATTGGCTTCAGATCCTACCCAGATCATAAGTCAGATAAGTCAGATAAGCCGGTTAAGTCACTTCAATGACGTCAATGATATCAATTGAAACATCTTTGGCTTCATGTCCTCACCGTTGCTCACAGTCATGGCCACCCTTAAATACCCGGCACGGACAAAAAGAATATATATATATATATACATATCTAAACACCAACCCGCCAAGGCTCAGCCAATGTCTCCGGGAGATATCTACTATATAAGTTTGTCCCCTAATGGTTATTGCTTCGTGGTTCGTTGATAGTTTCACCTGCAACACCCCTGCCGTGCCTGCCAACTACCTGGAAACCTCCCTTGCCAGCTGCAAATGGACAGCCCAAGACCCTGCCGGTGGGTCATGATCCACAAATGGCCAAGGAACTCATTCTGCGCCAAAACATTCCACCAAAACACCCAACACCACCCAACCAGAGGCTTTGAAAGTCTCAAGAAATAGCAAATCAACCAACCTGTGACAAGGATCCAGAAAACTCATTGGTTCAAAAGCCTTCATGAAAACCTGGATGACTTCCGTCTGCCACCAGAAATGAAATGTATGGAATCGCAGGACATGATTTCAATTTTTAGCTCACAGGAATCCACGCTGTTGATCTCATTGGTGATTTCAAGTCTCAAGTCATCCCAACAATAGTAACCAGATGGTCTCGATGGTTCATCATCCTCCCCAGAGACCATTAACATCCTCAAACAGAGCTAATTGCATCTTATAACCACATTAGTATCATATGGTATTGTCTGGGAATATGATATCTACCCCATTCAATCCCAATCCAGAGCCTAATCATGATTTTACCAATGTTTTCCCCATTAAGACTCCATTAAAATTGCCATCGTGAGAGGGGGCCATATCCCATCACTGCCATCAGCGGGTCCTGACAGAAAAGATGGTCCTGACCGAAGAAGTTAAGACATGAGTCATTGGAGATCATCGCCGGGTTCTGAATGAGGCGGGATTCAGAACATATTTATCATGTATTGATATATATATATATATATATACATGATTATACAATATTATATGTATGATTATACATATATATATATACATATGATTATACATATTCATATATATAATATAACGAGGTCCGATGATTTGGTCACCGAGATTTGGTGATTTCCTGTGGCGGACCACAAAAAAATCATCAAAACTTCCACTTTTTGAGCATTGGAACTCGTGGCTTTCGGGTGGCTTCGCGGCATCACTTGTTTCAAAAAGCATAGCCAAGTGGGTCGCAACCAGACAACAAAAGTGGAATTCTGTTCGTGGAACCGGTGATTCAAACCAACCAATATTTGACGTGGCTCAAAATTTCAGGCTTCAAGCCCTGCAATGGCTATGTTCCGTAGTAAACCATCTTGCTAAAAACGCCAACCTTGGGGTTACGTTGGGGTACCCTGGGAACTTGACTCCAAATCCCCCACAGCCACAGCACGGCCGCGCAGCCTGTAGCAACTGCAAGGGCCCCTGGCATGGCTGTGCTTCGGATTAGGATACTACATAGTGGCAATCCCTTTGATGCCTTTCATACCGGGATCTTGTTGATATTCCACACCAACCCAATCAACCAGAATGGAAATAGCAGGAGCAGAAGAAGAAAAAGAAGAAGAAGAAGAAAATCGACAAAGACGTTAATTTTGGCACAACAAAATGGTGGGGTTTTGGGCTCTAAGAGATCCCTAACAAGTATTAATACACCGTGCCAAGAATGTCTGTTGAAATAGATGGATGTGTTTGAAAATAAGATATACCGTACCCCCAATTGTAGCCATGTATATATAAATATATATAATTACATATATATATATAAATATATATATAATTCCATTTAATAGGGAAAATGATGATTACGCATTCGATATAGGGGCACACTATTTTCAGACAAACCCAGATGAACATTGTGTGCAGCCTCTGCGGCGGCCGTAGCAGCACGATGCTCTGCCCACTTTTGGAGCACCTGCGACGGTGAAAAATGGTGGTTACCCTTCAAGAATCAAACGTGGCTGAGAAATCCCAGCCACTGGCTATAGAAAACTGGGAATGTCATCTAGAAAACTGGGGCACATGTCACGGAAAATGTCATGGCCATGCTAGATTACCAGAGGGTAGCCATCTAGAAATAAACCAAGCAGTGGGACTGCTGGAAGCCTTGGCCGCGGGCGTCAGTTGGGGCTGTTGCTCCTGGTGATGGGATAAGACCGGGGTGTTTCGCTGGGGAGCTGGGGTAAAGCGAAGCATACAGGTAGGGCCAGGTAGGGATATGAATGATATAGATTGATATAGGGATATCACGAGAATAGCATGGGATATATATATATATACAACCAACACTTTGACATATATTCAGTGACTCAAAATGGGGGGATATCTGAAACTTGCCATGTCGATGAGAACGATGATGAGCCATGTGATTGGGAGTTCCAAACTTCAAGAACCAATGTTAAGCGACCAAAATGATGATATGTTGGTTTCATAAAATTATGTTATTTTTCTTTGGAATGGGGAAACCAATGATTTATTGGATTCCCGGAGCCCACTTGGGTTTGACTGAAAACTCGGGAAAAAACATAGAAAATCCCACGGTTCATCAACAGTTTCTCAAGCTAAGAAACCATAAAAAGGAGCCCAACTTTCAGACAAACCCAAGTGAAATGAAGTGAAATGACACCTAGGAGTTTCTTTGTTTACCAAGTGGCCAGATCTCAACCTATTGGCATGTGACAACAGTAACATTGTTTCTACCAGCGCATGGTGGGTCAAATCAATAGGAAACGTCTTCAATAATCCACTGACTGGGGGTCAATACTCTTGAGCCGTCTCTATTCGGCATCACTCTCCTCCCTTTTTGTGCAGCTACTGGGTAGCAACTTGTCACGATTTGCCCTTTCAGGCTCGTTTGCTCTTCTCGGCCGCGGCCTAAGGCGTCACAACACGGAACCTTGATGGGTCCTAGGTCATTTCAACATCAGGTCCTGGGTACAAGGAAATAATCGATGTCTAAATGTCAAGTCTCCAGTGGCCTTGCCAAGCTGGCTGATACTCAGAATTTCATGTCACAACCCTGAGACACCCTGTGTATGTCATGCATTTGGCGTCTCCCAAGTCCGTCTCAACGACCCGGGCATTCCCAGTCTCTTGGGTTCCTCCTCCAGTTTAGGGATGTTTGTTTAAACGAAGGAAAGCGCCAATGACCTATTTCATTGGTTTTATTGATATATTTAGTTTTTGTGACATATATGTTGCTTAGATCCCAATTCTGGCGTGGTAAACTCCCAGTCAAAGCCAGGTGCTATCCAACTTCTTTCCCTGACACCGGGGTCAAAGGACTTGGCACGGGACCATGTGGTTGCGCCATCTTTGTAAATTAGAAAGACTCAAGTCCCACACATACCCTGAGACAGCAAATGTGACCGGAAGAAGGCGCAACACTACATGCGCAAAATGGGTCAAATTGTTCCAGCTGCCTCATTTCTAATTGAATGTCCTTCTTTCGGGATTGGACATTTCAGTTATGTTTTTTTTCACAGGTTGAGAGTAGCATTCAACAAAACAATAGGGGAGCCGCTGCTTGTTGTTCGCAAATTACACAGATTTAACTTAAGCATGTTTCACCCCTGAACATCATCCATGGTTCATTTAGTCTAACAACGTGTTCCCCACAAAAATCATCGGTCCTGAGCTTCCCGGCCGGGAGCTTCCAAAAGGCCACCGCCTTGGAAACAGGTCGATGGCCGGAAAGGAGGGAGTTATGAATATACCCAAACAAATACTATATATATATATAGCATATAAAATTAGATGTAGAATGATGTAGATAAGATCGATGTGTATATTATATATGTGTGTGTATCTATCTGTATTTATTTATGTGTGGTTGTTTATTTATTTATATTTATTTATATTCATATTTATTTATATTTATTTATTTATTTACTTAATTAATTATTTATACACATATACGTCGATATGTATATATATATAGTGGTGTTTTCTTCACAATCACAGAATTGTAGTCGGAAATGTATTGTGATCATAACTATAGCTATAATATTGATTTTATGTATGCCATAACTATAGCTATAATAATTGATTTTATATGTGTCATAACTATAGCTATAATAATTGATTTTATATATGTATGTGTATCATTGTACATGTATGCTTTTATGTGCAAAACTATACCTGTATGATTATATTGGTGAATGATGGAGAAACTGGCAGTGAACTAGAATAGCCATATGGGTTTGTCTCCAAATGGCTACGGGATTGAGGGGGGGCCATCGTTTTTGACCCAGACAGTATGAGTAGAAAAGTGTATATACAACAGTAGTGGATTCAAGGATGGCTAAGAGTGGGTAAATCAGCACTAGAAAACGGAGAAAACCATGTATATAACTTGGACTTACTTTCGGTCAGTTACCAGTAGGACCTTTACCAGGAATTCCAACACCAGTGCAGTGGCCTAGACCCAGAGATTGAAGCCCAACAATCACTGCTGCTGTTGGGAATTGTCAAAATCAAAGGTAGTTTCAGCAAACCATCCTCCAACCCCATCCCGCCAAGTCGCCAGGTAGGCCAAGGATACGAAACCCCAGTGCGGATACCTGTCGGGCTTACAAGACGTTCAATTGAGGAACGGATGATTTTTGTCACCGGCTTCAAACACGTCACAAGTCTTTGGAGGCTTCACAGAAATGATCCATTGAATGACCCAACAACAAAAGTTTCACAAAACCATCGATTTACGTGTACATATCCACATATATGGTGATTTCCACTTCATGGGGGTACAGTGCCCCCAATCACCCATTTTTCTTTGGGATTTTGCCATCGCCCTAAAAAACCGCCTCCACACCGGGCTGTTCATCGAATACCTCATGGACCAAGGATGAGGCCTACTTCGTTGACTTTAAATCATGATCACAATAGTGTTTAGTGGTGAACCCATGTTTTTCTTGAGTGTACCACTGTATCAATGCATGATTACAAGATATAATTTACCATGAAATCCTTGAATATGTAGTACAGTCTCTCACTATGTATCCTAAAAAACCGAAATAATAGGAGGTAGCACGTTCAAAGAGCGTGATTGGTTTGGAAAACAAATCCCCTAAACGACCAAAATGTCTGGATTTGGATCTGGAGACCTGCTTCATCTATGTTTATATATGTTGAGAAACACCCTTTTCAAAGCTGGTAAGTAACATTGGAGTCTTTTCGCTGCTGACTTTATGAAACAACCACCTTTTTCAGTAGCTGAATGATCCCAATGACCAGCATCTTCAGGATCTTCCGAAAATCTTGGAATTTCCCCGGAACCATGAGTGAAAAAACAGAGTAAGGCATTCATAGTCAAACTCACTGGAATTTGCCACATCCAAATATATATATATATATATCAAGAAATCCTAAGTGAACTTGTCCACCAACAAAAGACTAACGGAAGCTTGGCAATGACCATGGTCCAAAGCCTCCTGAAAAAAAGAGCCTTTGCATCAAACCTGCTGGGTTTTTTTCCAGGTTTTGTAACAAACAACAGTGAACTGATGCAAATAGTGGCCATACCCTCTGATAATTTCTGGTAATCCAGGATGGGTATGGCCACTGAATGGGTAAATCATCTACCAGACACAGGCTGCGTCTTCGCATCGCGTTGGGTGAATCCATAGGTTTCGGGGTAGGTCGGTCTCTACCAGACACATCTAGTTTGCTGATCATCAATTCTTTGAACTCATTCCACCAGGGTGAATTCCCCACTAGATTCACTAGATCCCAAATATCTCAAAAAAAACATCTCCCAAATCATCCTTCGATCCAAATTGCATCAGCAAGATAACGATGAAGATGGAATAGCCCTTCACCTCAAAAAGCACAGCGCAGGTGCGCCACAATCCCAAGAGGATATGTCGGATATGTATCTCATATCATCTCATATCCATATCCAAAAAGTCCACGTTGAACCGAATTTGAAGCCCTTGTCTCACCCATAGATTTTAAGACTTTGCAAAAAACTCAGCATTTTTGCCATCGAAAACGGGCTGGCTGCTTGGCTCATGACCCAAATCTGCATGGAGGAGAGCAACAAAGGCAGAGCAAAACTCGGCAAGACCTTCGAGATGTACAGCGCCTGGTGAGGCGTTGGAAATCGACAGGTTTTTCCTCCAGAAATGCTGGATGTTCCATACAAGTATATGGTGGTGTCCATAAATGGGACCCCCAATAGCTGGATGATATATAATGGTACCCCTATTTTAGGAAACCACCATATGTTAGTGTACTGGAGGGTAACAATTTACAATTTTAGAGTTGTTGATGTTTTCCGAACGAGGAAATGCGTCAACAACCCATTCATCTATAGCACGAGATTTTCCACCAGTTTTCACTTCATTGTGCTGCAACTGCTTCTAGTTTTCAAACAACGATGCCTGGAAACAAAATACATGTCACTGGGAAATACATCACTTTTCGAAATAATGTCTATCTCTCATGGATGTATATAATATATATTATATAATATATATATATACACACATTCATGCATGCCATGCCATGGAATGCAATGCAATGGAATGCACTGCACTGCACTGGACTGTACTGTATGTAGAGATATTCAAGTACATAGTCATCATGTTTGTATATGGCAGTGTGTCAAAACCTTGTACCCCTGGTGAACATCAAAATAGCTGGTAAATGGATGTTCATCCCCCTAAAAATGGTATTAATAGGTATTGATCCATACCCATATGTATATACAATTATATATATACGTACAGATATAGATAGATATGGCAATCACCTACAACACCTGTCCTTCCATCGGATTGGCCTCGCTGGCAATTTGCTGTCGCATGGCCTGCAGCCAAAACGACGAGATTTCCACGGGCCTCTTTTCTTACGGGCTGTGCCCTTAGGCCCTTGGAAAATGCTGGGAAAATGCTGGGAAAATGCTGGGAAAATGGTTGAAATCCAACTATCATAGGGAGATAGTGGTGTTTTTTCGTGGTAAAAGTGTTGGGATTCCCAGTTTAGTCGAACCAAGAAATCATGGCTGGGGTCACCAAAATGTCTTTTCTACACGATGTCGAAATAAACCAACAATTCATGTGTGTATTTCTATGTCGCTGGGTTATTAGTCCGTCCCCTTTGATGATGGTAGATGGGTGGATGCGCGCAAAAAATCATGTATTCCATGCATAGGGGTAGGACCATGTAGGACCATCTAACACGTGCAGTGGTTGAAATCCCTATTTCGGCTGGAGGCATCACTTTCATCTCCAAATTCTATGGTGGAAACATGTCAAAACCCTGTGGCATTTTAACGTAGGTATGGAAAAGAATATGTTTAACAGTTTAACAACTAAATCCAGCTAAATCATCTATAATTGTATCATTGTCAGACATAACCATATTGGATATAGTTGGTTTTATATCCCATGATATCCCCTTCAACATCCCATTCAACCACCATCTTTAGTAGTTAAATCACCATTCAGTAAGTCAGGAAACCAGTCAGTTACTGGGTTCCCAGGCCATATGAACCAACGGTAGTGAGGATGGCACGCTCTGCGCCCACCATGAGGGTGACAAGGCACGGCCATCCACCATGGCCGCCTGAGCTTGAACTGCTAGTGACCCATGACATTTTAAGCACCTAAAAACTTCATGAATTCATATGAATCAACCACCAAAACTTGGATTTGATATGGATGTTTTATGGATTTGCAATGGATTTTGGATGATTTCACCTCTCGAGTGTCGTCTGTTTGCTATCTGAACTGGATGATTTTCATGTTCGCTGGCCGAGCTGCATGTGCGGAGAATCCTTATTTGAGTCCATCCAAATTCCTTTTTGGGTTGATAAGTACTTATTATCTGCAAATCCAAAGCGCGTCAACCAACTGCACAGTCAATAGCAACAAGTGGACGGCCTGTTAGCAGCGTGGAGACAGATGTATTGTAAACGATTATATAAGCGGGATTACGCAATTACCAAAATTGGATGGGTACCTATAATAAAATTACTATATTAGGGCAAAACTGGATTCAAATTACCAAAATTATCTGGTTGGGAAACTTACCCTCTGGTAATTCAAGAGTTTGCTATGGAAAATAACCCATTTAGTTCGATGATTTACCTGTTCAAACTGGTGATTTTCTATAGCTGTTCTCAATTACCAGACGGTAATTTCCCATCAAATCCCACCAAATTCGCATTACTGTAATTCCCGGTATTTTTTTGAAAAAAAAAAAACGTCACAAATTTCCCATGAAATCCTAATCAATTCATATAAATTCCATTGAAAAAACCCATCCCCATGGCCCACCTGCAGCATGGCCCATAGCTCGGGCGGAGCTTCGACAACCTCTGCTGGTGATCGAATGGTGCCAATTCAATGGGATTGAATGGTTTTTGCTCATGGAAATTGAATGGAAATTGACTGGGATTTAATGGAAATGGAATGGGATCTATATTGTTGATATTTTGGCATTTTGTGGGCATTTCAACAACAAGAAATAAACAAAGACTTAGAACAGCTGAGGATTTCAACTACTGTAGGAGAATGAGGATTTCACAACGACGTTCACATACCACGCAACTGTCAGTGGCATGAAGAGGATGGTGAAGACAAAGAGCCTCACCATGGAGCTTCCCCGGGTCTGGAAATGGAAATGGAGGATGTACCGGATTTATGACAAAAAATGACAATTGAATGTGGGAAATGATGATAAACTGATCGTTAGTACTGAATTTTGGGCCTTTCCGGCCTTTCCCATAATTTCCAAAGCAAAAAAAAGCGTAACCCAGCTGACTGGAAGTGCTCTAAGTGCTACTGGACATCGAATCTTTGCATCACTTTTGCTGTGAACAGCTCGGAAAAGAAGGGACACGGGAAGATACAGAACCCCATCGGTCGCAGAGATATATACAACATACATCAACATACGCATCTTGAAATATGCACAGCACAAAGCAAATTCATCAAATCGCGAAGCATCTTCGACATCTTCGGTTTAGCGGCCCCATATTGATACATGCTGTCTTCACCACTGAGTCAAGGAGGCTTCTTTTTGCAAAACCATCTGCTGCATATGCTGGAACTTATACCTCTGGCGAAATCCCTGTCGGCGTGATCGCTACATCTGATAGTCTATCGCAACCAGGTCGGTTCGTACCAGTTGCAATAATTTACCCATTGGCTGTTCAATGGGGGGATGCCCCCTCTGTGTATCATTAACGAGTAGGTCCGTAGGTGAAGCACATCTATATCTTTGGAAAAATAATTCACCAGCCAAAAAAAACAGGTCATCTTGGGGTGATTCCTTACAGATGGATGGATGGATGGATAGATGGATGGATGGATAGATGGATGGATGGATGGATAGATGGATGGATGAATAGTATGTACATATGTATATATATATATATATTCTATACATATTCTATACCTACTACGTCGCATTACCCTGTATGAGCACCGAGATCTCCGAGGAAGTGGCGCTACATGCGCCGCAGCGCCCGCACTGAAGGAGCGAGAGCGGATGGATGCAAAGGCTTCGCTCCACACCTGTCGAGGCAGCCAAGGTTTTTTTACAGTGACCACCAACAATCACTAAGTCACTAAGAAGGGTTTCTTGACCATCTACTGAATCGTTGGGACCTGCTTGGGGGCCTACCTTTGGAGTGGTTGGGTTGAATACCCGTGAAATATTGAAGCAATGAGATCATGATGAGGATGTCTCAACACCGAAAACTGTATTTTTTACAGCCCAAAGTGCTCTGAAAACGAAGAAAATTTTGAGAGCAAACATATTGATTGAATCGAGAAAACGTGGCGAAATTTCCAGGTACAAACAAACCAATAAAACGGGAAAAATTTACAGCAAAATAGGGATAAGACTGGTAGGACCACAAAAGAGGTGCAGTCAAATCCAAAGAAATGTCCGTGAAGCACGAACCAAAATAAGCAGTGACCGTTGGGAAATCAATAACACATACGATCATAGACCGATGGCCACCGTGGCTTTGCCAATGGGGGAAGGGTTTCCGAACTCATTGGTCTCCAAGTTACGATCCCTCAGGAAATTTCTTCTGAGCACTACTGCTTCATGCCCGCCAAGGTCAACCACCCCAGACATCCTCAGACAAGCCAAAAATGACTCGGATTCACTGCATCCACCCCAACTTCCAGCACCAGGAAGATCTACCAGAATCGACCGAGTTTCCCAGCTGACACCGGCCCCATGGCCTCAGGTTCTCGTAACAGGCAAAGGGTACCCACCACAAGGCCTGCACCTTGCTGCACAAAGGCCTTGGGGAAGTCTGTGGCCTGGCAGGACTGGGTTGAACTTAAGGACTGGCTAAAATCCATGCAGTTTTATTGGATGCCATAACTTAAGTATAGTATGAATATGTAAGAAGCAGGGTGATTATTATCTACTGACACTTTTTGTGATTTTCACTCCGCCCATTCTCCACGCCTGCTATACTTGTCTTTCGGTGACCACTGCCCGCCTGAAGGAGCAGAAAACCCAACAGCACCCAGAGATGCCAGCGCGGTTCAACCTGCCAACGGCGCAGCGAAGGTGAGCCACCATGAGTGAGGAAGTCAACTGGGAAATCAGTTTCCCATATGCATGGTTTATCTTGAATACCCTCACTGTATGTATATATATATACATATACCTATCTATCTATCGATCTATCCATACCATACCATACCATACCATACCATACCATACCACAACATACCATACCATACCATACCATACCATACCATACCATACCATACCATACCATACCATACCATACCATACCATACCATACATACCATACATACACACCATACATACCATACATACACACCATACATACCATACATACACACCATACATACCATACATACACACCATACATACATTACATACATCACATACATTACATACATTGCATACATTACATACATTACATACATTACATACATACATTACATACATTACATACATTACATACATACATTACATACATTAGATACATTAGATACATTAGATACATACATACATACATGCATGCATGCATACATACATACATGCATGCATACATACATTACATACATTACATACATACATACATACGTACATGCATGCATGCATGCATGCATACATGCATACATTACATTACATTACATTACATTACATACATATATTACATACATTACATACATTACATACATTACATACATTGCATACATTACATACATTACATACATTACATACATTACATACATACATTACATACATTACATACATTACATACATACATTACATACATTAGATACATTAGATACATTATATACATACATACATACATACATGCATGCATGCATACATACATACATGCATGCATACATACATTACATACATTACATACATACATACATACATACATACATACATACGTACATGCATGCATGCATGCATGCATGCATACATGCATACATTACATTACATTACATTACATTACATTACATATATTACATACATTACATACATTACATACATTACATACATTGCATACATTACATACATTACATACATTACATACATTACATACATTACATACATTACATACATACATTACATACATTACATACATTACATACATTACATACATTACATGCATTACATACATTACATACATACATACATACATACATACATACATACATACATACATACACGCATACATACATACATACATTACATTACATTACATTACATTACATTACATTACATACATACATACATGCATGCATACATACATACATTGCATTAATTACATACATTGCATAAATTACATACATAGATACATACATACATACATACATTACATACATACATACATACATACTACATACATACATACATACTACATACATACATACATACATACATGCATGCATACATACATACATACATACAATACATACATACAATACATACATACAAACAAACAAACATACATACATACACACATACATACATTACATACATACATACATACATACATACATACATACATACATACATACATACATACATTACATACATTACATACATTACATACATTACATACATTACATACATTACAAACATACATACATACATACATACAGACCCCAGACAGCAGACAGAACACATACACACAACACCCTACATACATAACATACATACCATACAATTACATACATTACATACAATACATAACCTTACATACCTTACATACATTTACATCTTACATACATACATACATACATAAAAAAACAACAATAATACATACATACATAGACATTACATTACATTACATTACATTACATACATTACATACATTACATACATTACATTCATTACATACATTACATACATTACATACATTACATACATTACATACATTACATACATAACATACAATACATACATTACATACATTACATACATTACATACATTACATACATTACATACATTACATACATTACATACATTACATACATTACCTACATTACATACATTACATACATTACATACATTACATACATTACATACATTACATACATTACATACATTACATACATTACATACATTACATACATTACTACATTACATACATTACATACATTACATACATTACATACATTACATACATTACATACATTACATACATTACATACATTACATACATTACATACATTACATACATTACATACATTACATAATTATATATTTACACATTACATACATTACATACATTACATACATTACATACATTACATACATTACATACATTACATCCATTACATACATTACATACATTACATACATTACATACATTACATACATTACATACATTACATACATTACATACATTACATACATTACATACATACATACATATGTATGTATGTATGTATGTATGTATGTATGTATGTATGTATGTATGTATGTATGTAATGTATGTATGCATGCATACATACATCCATCCATCCATCCTTCCATCCATCCATCCATACATACAGTTGTTGTATAGTGTATCGTGTATCACCAATCATTATAATATAATATCCGCCGACCCCATCCATCAGCAGGGGGATGGCGCCAGAGGAAAACAACAGATCTTCGCCCGGGCACCACCAGCTTTCGCCCAGCTTCGCCCGGCCCGGCTGCTGCATTTGGAGCTAGTTTCTTACAGCTTCAGAAAGCAACGTTAGGCACCGCCAGCCGTCTGTCGAATGACCCCGTCCGGTCTTCACTCTCATGGTGGTTGGGACTGGTGGGCCCACGGTTTTGGAGGCCCGGCTGCTGCATTCGGAGCTATTCTCTTGCAGCTTCTGAGAGCAACGTTAGGCACCGCCAGCCGTCTGTCGAACGACCCCGTCCGGCCAAGCGTGTATGCCGTTGTGGCCTTGAAGAAAAATTCTCCACTTTACTCATACCCACAAAATGATTTGTATACATCTGTTGAAGGCATTTTAGTCCATGAAGCGAATCTGCTTGAATCACTCTTGTTTGAGACATTCTACTACCATCATGTGCCAACTCATTCACTTCAGCTACTTGCGTGCTGCGCAATCTAAGTGCAAATTTTTGCACTGGGTTTGCGACACCATCAACTCAAGTCCACTTCGCTGACTGGCACATTTTTCCTAAACAAACATCCTTAAAGGTCCCTCTTTGCGTGACCATACATTAATGGCCTACACGCACTACATCAGTCATCTCCAAAGGCCTAGGCGAGGTGTCTCCAAACGCATATTGTGAATATTTGTGTCGATATCATGCATACTAGTTTTAATTCTATTATATTCTATTCAATTACGAGTGCTGGACCTTTCGCACCCCTTTTGACATGAAGTCACCCCACTGCAAGGCACAACGCGAAAAATAAAGTCACCCCACGAAATCAATAAGTCACCCCACCATTGGCAAATCACCAAGGCACAACATACCCAAAAGTTTAATCGAACTTTGTGATATCGGTCTAGAATCTCGTCGTGCCTTTGCATTATGCCAAATATACGTTCTCAAAATCAGCATTTATTGATCAACCGGCCATTGGCACAACAGGTTAGGCAATCAAATCCTTTGAAGTTATTAAGCTATCTTTCTGTGCTCATTCAGAAGGGGTTACGTACACTAGCCTAGCGACCTTATATTACATTGCACTGTAAGTTCCGACTGAAACATACTAAGCGTACACGCTAAATCTGCAGGAAATGGAAGCCTCAAATATTGTTGCCTATAGGGTATACCGCTGGTCCAAACTGGTCAAATGTGGCTTGTGTTTGTGTCAGGATGTGGGGGAAAAAAACGAGACCTAAAACGAAACCTCTGGGAGACAAAACGAGACCTATAGGCACTCTACTCATGTGCTCTCCTCTCCTCTCCTCTCCTCTCCTCTCCTCTCCTCTCCTCTCCTCTCCTCTCCTCTCCTCCCTTCCCCTCCCCTCCCCTCTCCTCTCCTCTCCTCTCCTTTCCTCCCCTCTCCTGTCCTCTCCTCTCCTCTCCTCTGCTGTAGATTCTCTACTTTACCCTACTCTTCTTTACTCTACTCTTCCATACCCACCTCTACTCTATTCTACTCTTCTTTGCTCTGCTCCTCTCTACTCTTCTTTACTCTACTCTTCTCTACTTTGACTACAAGCCACATCATCGCAGTAAGGGGTATTCAAGTTTGAAGCCCTTTGCCCCATCTGTATAAGCCGTTCCTTCTTGCGCCATTAACAGGATTCAAACGACCCTGCAAGCATAAGGATTCCCCAAATGAATCCCAGTCCCAGTCCAAAGCATCGTGCCACTGCGATTTGCATCAAAAACTCAACATGCCCAAAACATATGACTAATCTGGGATGAGGTGTTTAACAGCACTTCCCATAGGCACGACGGTTGCGAGACGACTTCCCGTAAAATGGGACGAGTAAAGTCTACTACCCAGTACATTATATGTTTTAATTCAATCATACTATATTGGGTACCGCGCGAGCCTGGCGCGTCGGCGTATTATGTTTGCTGTTTATCATAATGTGATTCCACAATATGCACATTTAAAAAAAAAACATACCATAATACCACACCATACTATTCCATTCCATTGCATTGCATTGCGGTGCATTGCATTGCATGACAAACATTCTACTACACCATAAATGTACAAACAAACACATATATACATAACATGCCTTGCAGTCACCCAAGGTGTTTGTCTGGGGCACTATCCTAAGCCTTCGACCTACGGGTTTTAAGGTGCAAGCATACCACTTAGAAGGATACCACCAATGGCTCGTTCCTTTCACTGTACTGGGGTCGGCGGCAAGGGGCGGCAGCCCTTTTATCCGGCCAGGGGCCCCCTGGCCGTGTCCTTGCCATAGGCGTTTCTCTCCTCTCCGTAGGAGAGAGGGGCCGCTGCCCTTGCCGCCGACCACCCGGCAGGGCCAAAAACGCCCGCGTTTTACGGTGTTTTGTGCTCTTCCCGTTTTTTGCACTTTTTCGGCTCTTGTGGCTCAAGATGGGTCAACATGGGCCAACATAGGCCTCAAGATGGATCAACATAACCCCAACATGGGGCAACATAGCCCCCAAGATGGGCCAACATAGCCCCAAGATGGGGCACCATAGCCCCAAGATGGGCCAACAAAGCCCCAAGATGGGCCAACATAGCCCCAAGATGGGCCCACATGCCCTCAAGATAGGCCAACATAGCCCCAAGATGGGCCAACATAGCCCCAAGATGAGCCGCCGACCATCAAAATATCCTGCGTTTTACAGTGTCCTTTTTTGCTGTTCCCATTTTTCTGATCTTTTTGCTCAACATGGGCCAACATGAGGCAAACATAGGCCAACATAGCCACAAGATGGGCCCACATTGCCCGCAAGATAGGCCAACATACGCCAACATAGGCCAACATAGCCACAAAATGGGCCAACATAGTTGGGCCCCTGGCCGGCTGTCGCGCGTAAGCGCTTAAATCCGGCCAGGGGCCCAAGGGCCCAGTGCTGGCCGTGTCCTTGCCGGAGGCCTTCTCTCCTCTCCGACGGACTCCGAAGGAGAGAGGGCCCGCCGCCCCTGCCGCCGACCACCCCCCCCACCCCGTACCATCAAAATATCCCGCGTTTTACAATGTTTTTTGCTGCTCCCATTTTTTTACCATTTTTCGGATCTAGTGGCTCAAGATGGGTCAACATGGGGTAACATAGGCCCCAAGATCGGCCAACAGCCCCAAGATGGGCCAACCTAGCCCTAAGATGGGTCCAAGATGGGCCAACATAGCCCCAAGATGGGCCAACATAGCCCTAAGATGGGCCCAAATTGCCGTCAAGATAGGCCAACATAGCCCCAAGATGGGCCAAGATAGGCTACCAAGATGGGCCCATATAGCTAGCCCCAAGCCGTTCACCCCTATCACCTCAACATGGGCCCCTAATCCGGCCAGGGGCCCGCGGGGCCCGGAGCTGGCCGTGGCATTGCCGTACGGCAGTTCTCTCCTCTCCGAAGGAGAGAGGGGCCGCCGTCCCTGCCGCCGACCTACCCCCCCCACCCCGTACCATCAAAATATCCCGCGTTTTACGGTGTTTTTTGCTGTTCCCATTTTTCGACTCTTGTGGCCTAAGATGGGTCAACATGGGCCAACATAGGCCGCAAGATGGGCCAACATAGCCCCAAGATGGGCCAACATAGCCCTAAGATGGGCCCAAATTGCCGTCAAGATAGGCCAACATAGCCCCAAGATGGGCCAAGACAGGCCAACATAGCCAACATGGGCCCATATAGCCCCAAGCCGTTCACCCCTATCACCTCAACATGGGCCCCTGGCCGGCTGTCGCGCGTAAGCGCTTAAATATATATATATATATATTTAAAAAAAAAACATTATCTACATAATGTATAATGTTCATTGATCCCAGGTTATGGCAATAGGACCTCAAGTATCAAACTACCCATCCATTCAGGTTCCCCAGTTCTGGATGATTCCTTCCGGCCTCGAAGGGCAGTTTCAGGGACTTGCCCAAGCCATCACTGTGCACCTGGCAGAGCTTTTTTTCGCAAGACATTTATATATATATATATACATCCGCAGGCCGGGGGTGCCGCCCAGAGTTTTATCATGACACCAACTCTTTGGGGTTTGCTCAGGGTTTGTTTAGGGTTTCACCTGTTTTGTAGGGTTTTTACCACGGGTTTAATAAGATTTTACTTTCAAACTTTCAAGGCTTCCTGAGGGTTTTATCGCAGATTTAGGTTTTAGGATTTAGGGTTTAGGATTCAGGGTTTTGCGTTTTGGAAGCAAGTCTCGTCAGCCAAGTTCAAGCTGCCATTTCACCGACATACCAGCCTGCAAAAAACACTGGCCCTGCGCAGCTAAAGCCCACTTAGACGGGCAGCAACCCCGTCCTGGCCATGTATAGATAGATAGATATATATATATATGTATGTGTGTGTGCTATTTTATTTACAGGAAAGTAATGTGATTTCACCAAATGTCCTATGTCACGTTATGTTATGTTATGTTATGTTATGTTATATCATACCCTAATAAATATGTGTATATATATATATATTATATATAGGGTATCAGCACGTTTCCCAGGCCTTGGGATTCACCTTATGCGTCATCACCGCTAAGCCAGCGAAGGCCGCTTCAAAGCTGGTGAGGCATCTTGGTGAAGCTCAAGATGGGGAGAAAGCCGAAGCAACAATAATGTATATCATGGTATAGTGATGATATATCATGGTATCTATATATACAAGAATCAACGAATCAATGAGTAGAACTCTATATCAGCGTATGATGGTATGATGATATGGGTATGGGTCAAGTCATTGGTTACCCAACATGTTATAATAGTTAAGCGATTGTTTAAGAATAAACTAAAATCTGTGGGCCCCTGAATCTTAAACTTTGAGCCATACCCATATATATATATGTATATATATATATGTATGTGTATATATATATATATGCATATAGAGAGAGAGAGAGAGTGGTATACTCATTAGTTAATTGCACCATTATCGAAGGAAGTTTGGCAGTCAAACTTCCGACAATATGGACAGATGGAAAAGCAGAGGTGGGAAGAGTCAGAGAGGAGAAGAGCAGAAGAGAGAAGATCAGAGAAGAGAAAGAGTGAGAAGAAAGAAGATGCAGGCGCGCGAAAAGGTAGCAAAGTCGCAAAACACTGTGTTTTCCAATGATTTGTGGCTCCGGAGGGTCGAAAAGTAGGCTCGCTAAAGCGGCGGGTGCGGAGCCATGTGGCCAGACGAGAGATGAAAAATTGTACGCCATTGTGGCGCGAAGCATCGTTTCAAGCTTGCATTTTGCAGATAGACAGAGAGCTAGATAGACAACTACAACTACAACTACCACTACCACTACGCTACACTACAACTACAACAACAACTACTACTACTACTACGACAAATACAAATACAAATACAAATAAACTACGCTACATTACACTTCACTAATTACTAATTACACTACATTACGCTACAACTACACCTACAACTGCAGCTTCTAGCAACTACCACTACATTGCACTACACGACACTACACTAATTACACTACACCACGCTACAACTACAACTACACTACCTTACACTACACTAGACTACACCACACTATACCACACTACAGTACACAACACTATAGCACACTACAATACACTACGCTAATTACACCATACCACAACCACAACTACAACTGCAACTACACTACACTTATTGCACATTACAACTACAACTCCACTACGCCACACTACAACTACAACTACAACTGCACTACACCACACTACATCCAGCAGTTGTGGGTGAGGTGACCACTGCAACCATTGCAACCACTCCAAAAAACACAACTTCAACCACCTTTCGGTCCATCAAATGATTCGCTCTGCCATCCGTGATTCACAACAACCAACCTCTCCTATAGGTTTCCTATTTTTGAAACTTCCGCCACCGCCTTGTGCGGTACTACTGGTATAGACATATATGGCTATGGAAAGCTATGGGTTTGAAATATAGCCCGGAAACTTGCTAGTTGAGGAAATGCCAAACATGATCGGAAAAAAAAACACATGATTAAGATCAATTTGTCAAAGTCCCGAAAGCATTCTCTGGGAAAATGAGTCAACCCTTCCTCCCACCCATAAACAGAGTCACGCTTCGAATGGTGCACAAGGAGAATCTTTAATTCTGACAGAAAACTGTTTCCCCTGGAAAGACACCGGCGACCAACCAAGTCACGTGGTGAAGCCGAAGTGAAGCAACAGAAAGGCAGAACCCAACCTGGGAAATCGGCCAAAAGACCAAAAGGAGAGGACGGTCATCCAAGACAGGGATCTTTCTAAAGCTGGGGATACCACCGCAAAAAACTAAGGTTCACTCCTGAGGAAGTCCTCCTATTTCATCTTGACCAAAAGTTTGCAATTGCTCTGATCAATCGCCATCCAACGAGCCATGTCTCAAAGCGTAGGGAACTGCAATCCGCTTCCGGAATCCGGTCCACCCTCGATGCATCTCGATGCATCGCATTTCTCCGAAACGCTTCGCAGGTATCTGCATCCACTGCTCCAGTTGCCAATGAACCAACAACTCCCAGAATTTGATGAAGATGAAGGGGAAATGTATATGAAACCATATGAAACCCCAGTATTTCAGCGACAAAACCCATGTCAATCCCTGTAGCCAATGAGCAATCGAGCCCCTCCAGTCCATCGCACCCTCGTCTCCCAAGTTCCCCGGCTGGATTCCCAGTAGAAGTGCCACAAACTGCGCGGTGCCCAACTCAAACTCCTTCCGGGGGCTGGGCCAACCCTGACATCCTGTGGCCAACTGTGGCCTATGGCCAGGGGATGATGAAAAGAAGAGAACCGCATCTGATCATCTTTCGTTCTGAAAAAACGATTGGTATATTTTTTGGGATATAATGCTTCTCAATTCATGTCATGCATGGACGACACTATGCTCCCAAATCGGCCGCTTGTGATCTTCGCACAAACAAGTGAAGTTGCTTGGAACCATTGAACAATCTTGGGCTCTTCTGCTGGATACACGTCAAAATGTGGCGTTGTTCTTCCCCTTTTCGGTTCGGAGTCTCGATATCCACATGGAAAGCTTGTGAACACCGAGTTTCCAAAAGGTGGGAACTATGGCTCCCTGAACATGCCCCAGCCAATTGGTCTATTTCATCTTAAAAGACTCAAAGGGTTGGTGGTTCGATCTATCCCAAAAACACATATTTCGCTGATTTGGATCATCATCCTATTTCAGTAATTGAAAATGAAAGATGTTCCAAAACTCTTGGAACTGCTGGCTGGATAATGATGATGTTGGTTTATAAAAATCGGCATCCGTGATCCATTTTCTAGAAGCAGACACCCCACAACCACTCAACGTGTGCCAAGGATCTAAAGCATAGCCGAAGACTAAGAGTACTGTGGAGGTCAGAAATCCACGGATAATGCCTGGCTGGTTCCGAAAGATAGGAGGTCCTCTATGAATCAACCAACCATCGACAGCAGCTTTTGAAGGGAGCGCCAGCACAGTTGAACCACCAATTTCAAGTGATGTTTTGAAGCATCCTTCGCAGGATCAGGATCCATATCTCTTCACAAGTCCCTTGGCATCCTGCCACTGGGAATACCCACTACGAAATACTGGGATGATCCCATGATCTTCACTAGCTTTTGAAACCCACTTCTCACCCCTTGGGATATGAATTTCCTGGCTGCCGCATCAACCCAGGCACCGGCTTCGAAGGGCCAGAAGACATGCAGCAGCCAGCGCATGCTGGGGCCGCCCGCGAAGTGCAGCGTGCGCACGTCCAGGCAGATGCCTCAACGGCCCGTTGGCGGCTGGAATGTCTGGTAGCTGATGTAGCTGGTGCTATAAATGTGGTGCCTTCAAAGTGACTTGGGTGTGTCCGAAAAATGGGGATACCCCCCATGTATGCTTATTTCAATACGGAAAATGATGATAAACTATCCGTCGGTTGCTGGTCGTGTCATTGGGGTACCAGCCATCGGTGTTTTAGTAGTGAACCAACCATAGTACTTCACCACACATGTTGTCCCTTTGAGTATTTAACCATACACACACACATGCTTCAGGAATTTTGAGGATCATGTTTTGAGCCAGTCAAAAAATGTCTGCTCGAACAGGATCATAAACAAGCCTTATTCGACACGGTCGCTTTTCGCAGGGTCTTTTTTTCTCTTACGGATAGATCTTGCGGGCTCATTGGATGATCCAAACATGGGAATCCAGGTCTTAGAACATAAGTGATTTAGGAGTAGCCTATGTTCCGACAAAGCCATTTAGTACCATCCATGGCCAAAATCAGCAGCAAGAAGGGGGTCAACTAGAAGAATGGGTAAAGAAACCTCCATTGGGAGACTAAAAAGTTGGTTAATATCGGTTACCCAGGAATGATGAGAATCCCCATCGGCCCGCTATCGCAAAGGCGGCGGCATCCCGCCGCACCGCTGATGCGGTTCAGCGGTCCAGGTGAACAATGGTTACTGTAGGTGTTTTCCCCAGCTTGCATCATTGTGTATCCGAGTTTGAAAGTTTAATCTCAAAATATCTCAAAGCTAGC